CGCGATCGCCACCCGCCAGGACTTCCGGCTGCTCAGGTGGGCCCGGCCCAGGCGCGAGAGGCCCTCTGACCCCACCGGTGTCCACCCCGCCTCTGGGGAACGGCCAAAGCCCTTGGGGAGTTGTGTTTGGATGTGCGAGCCGTGACTGTGACGGGATCATTCGGACACAGTGGTGTTGCTTGTGAGAACCACTGCGTGTATCTGCAGCTAGCCGGGCACGTCAGCCTGGACTACACAGAGAGGCCTTGCCTCAAAGAACCAAGACAAGGGCTGGGGATTTAGCTCAGCATTTCTGCTGCACAAGGACCCGAGTTCGACCCTGGTACAAAAAAAAAAAAAAAAAAACAGGGCTGAGGATTTAGCTCAGTGGTTCCACTGCCTGCCTTGCAAGCATAAGGACCCGAGTTCGATCTCCGGTACCAAAAAAAACCAAAACAAAACCAAAAACACCCCCACAACTTTATCTGTTGCTATGTGCAAGGAATCAGCAGCTAAGAGGTAGAACAAGAGACATTTCCCTTTTTTCTTCATTTTTTTTTTTTTTAAACAGTACTGGGGATGGACCCAGGGCCTTCATACTGAACTACGTCCCTAGTTCTTCTTATTTATTATTTGTTTGTTTGTTTGTTTGTTTGTTTGTTTTTAAGAGGCAAGGTCTTGCTAAATCTTTAACTTGCCCGGGCTGGGTTCAAACTTACAACCCTCCTGCCTCAGCCTCCCAGAGTACTGGGATAACAGGTGTGTGCCACCACGCCCAGCCCAACATTTTCGTTTAACCAGGTGCCTCATTAGATCTGATGCCTACTTCAGGATAGAACCATATCATGTCCTCACTCACTAAGACTCAGAGCACCGAGGCTAAGATTTTAATGATGTCACCCGTGTACTCTCTTTACTATGGGGTTAATATTACCTAAGCGACTACCCTTGTAATCTTATTTGACCCACGTTGTACCCAGCCCTCGTGAGTTTGTCCTACAAAACTCCGATGAGAAGCGGGCTCCTCGGCAACCCCTTCAGGAGCCCTCGTGTCTCTCTGGAGCTACTCTTATTCCCCATTCTTATTTCTCATTCCTAGTCCCCAGGAAAATTCCCTCCGTTTACCAAAAAAAAAAAAGGCTCTAAGGTCTGAAGTGGCCCTCAGTCATTTTTGCCACACCTGATGACAAGGTCAGCCTTGTTCGGAGCAGGGCGGGGGCGTACAAGGGTGTGGGCCTGGGGTCCCCATCCGCAGCTTCTGCGTCTCATAAGCTGTGCAGGAGAGGCGGTCCCCACCTGCAGGAGTGCGTACTGTACTTAAAGCCAGAGCCTGCGCGAGTGGGGCCAGCACTCCACCACCGAGCTATGCCCCAGCCTTCTGATTCTGAGACAGGGTCTAAGTCACTCAGTTGCCCGGTCTGGGCTCAAACTCGTGGTCCTCCTGCCTCAGCCTCCCAGAGGGCCGGTAGGTATGGCAGGTATGGGCTGCTGTGCCTGGCAAGGAGAGGTCTGGGGTAGGGATTTTCAGGCAGCTCATTGTCTGGGCGGAATCCTAACGCGCAAGCCCACTGTTACGGCCTAATTTGCAGGCTAGTTCACTAGGGCAGCGGGGTTGGGGGCCCTGGCTGCAGCTGCCTGTGGGGACATCCTGTAGCTTGGCCTTGACAGGGCTGTGCGAGCTCTGGTCATCTCCCGACTGCACTTCAGGGTCCCCCTTTCAAGTACTGACCAGGCCGGACCCTGCTTAGCTTCCGAAATCAGATGAGATGGGGTGTGTTCAGGGTGGTATGGCCGTAGATGGGGTTCTTAGCCCTAATTCTTCGCTCTCCCTTGCCGGACTTGCAAGGGGCAGCCTTCTTACCGAGTCCTTATTTGCCACAGAAAGACAGCCAGAGCTCTCTGGGATCTCTCATAAGGGCACTGATCACCTCATCTGCCCCTGATCCCCCCCCCGAAGGCCAAGAGGAAGAGGGGTGACCTGGGGGTGGGGGAGTCCCTACCCTGGTGGGGAAGCATCCAGCCGAGACTAAGGCCCCCTCCTCCCCGCAGCAGTGGGAAGGGGCTCCCCAACACCCGCACCAAGGTGAAGGAGGAAGATGAGGAGGGTATTGGCAGCATTAGCATCTGGGGCCGGAACATCTTCATGGGGTATGTCATCGACAACAAGGGCACCATGCAGAAGACGGACTGCTATGGCTGGCTGCACACAGGGGACCTGGGCTTCTTGGATGTCGACAACTTCCTCTACATCAGGGGCAACGCCAAGGGTGAGCAAATTAGGGCCAGGGCCCACAGGGACGCTATGGACGGTGGCGTAGGTTGGACACAGCACAAGACCAGGTGAGGGCTCAAGTCCAGCGAGGAAGAAGGGACTCCTTTACAGACAGTGTCCCCCACCCCGGCCCCTGTACCAACACTTCCCTTTCCTGAATGCAGACATCATCACACTGAGCTCAGGGAAGATGATCAACCCAAGCCCCATTGAGGAGCGGGTGAAGACCTACATCCCCATCGTCCACTACGTCATGGTGGTGGGCCAGGACGCCCCCTACCTGTGCGCCCTCCTCACACTGAAGGTGCGTGCGCGTGGGCTGGACGCTGAGGCTGGAGAGGAGGGGTGACCTGGTCACCCGGCGGGGACACTGACCCCGCATGAGGGGGCCTGCATGGGGTGCTGGGGCATAGGCAAGAGGCAGCTCTGATCGGAGCCCTCCGCAGTGCCAGGTGAACTGGGAGACAGGGGAGCCCCGCACGGCGCTGACCAGCGAGACTGTGGCCCTGTGCCGGAGCCTGGGGAGCCAGGCCACCAGGCTGGTGGACATTGTCCACAACTGCGACCCCATCATCGCCGACTTCATCAGCAAAGGCATGGAGGCTGTGAACGCGGAGGCCACCTCGGACAGCGCCAGGGTTGTCAAGTGGGCCGTGCTGGACACAGACTTCTCCGTGAGCGGCGGGGAGCTCGGTGCGTGGTGCCGGGGCCTGGTGGGTCGGCCGCTCCCTGATCAGGGTAGCTCTGCCATCTTTGCTCAGCAAAACACTTTCAGTTCCACGGCCCACAGGCTGCAGGGCTGAGACCCTTGCTCTTTCCACCCTCCTGGAAGATGAGCTGTCCCCCCACGGTACCCCCAGATCCCATCCCTGGTTTTGGGGTGGTGGGAGATCCCTATATGCTAGTGTCAAAGGAGTCTAAGACCCACACCTCCAGAACAGGGCCCGACTCCTGTGACTGGTGCTTTTTTTATTTTTTGGTACTGGGGATCGAACTCAGGACCTTGAGCTTACAGGGCAGGCGGCAGAACCACTGAGCTAAATCCCTGCCCTCTTTTTGTTTGGTTTTTGAGATGAGGTCTTGCTATGTAGTTCAGGATGGCCTCGAACTTACAGCGATCCTCCTGCCTCAGCCTCCTGAGCACTAGGATGACAGACGAGTGTCACCACGAGTGCCCCCACACCCAGCACCCATGCTTTTTGTCCAATGTCTCACACAGCGAAGGCTGCTGTCCCTGCTGTGGTGGCTGTAGAGGGTGGGACTTGTGGGGTGTTTTGGCATGGGCTATGGCCCCCAGTTCCTTTCCGCTGGTTCCTAGGCAAATCCCCAGCTGCCCTGGTGCCCTCTGCAGCCCTGACGTGGACTCGGCCCCTGAGGACCTGGGCTCTGGGCCCCTATGCGGCCCATTAAGGACTCCTCTCATCACCCAGGAGTCACCTCAAGACTGAAGAGGGAGGCTGTGGCAAGGATATACAAAGCAGAGATTGAGCACTTCTACAAGGATGCGCGGAGTCTCTAGTGGCCAGGGAAGGTCTTGGCAGGTCTGCAACTCGCTCCCTGTGTGATGTCAAGGGACCTGTTCCTAGAGGGCCACAGATAGAAGGGAAAAGAGCCTCTCTGGCTCTGTCTTCAAGTTGAAAAGAATAATAAAATCGGTTCCCTAGAGTGGGCTCCTGCTCCCAGGGACCCTATGGGAGGCTGGGGGACACCCGTGGCTGTCCCAGCTGGAATGCTGCCGGCAGAGGGAGGGAAGAAGATAGGGGCACGGCTCAGCACCCTGCAATGCCAAGGATGCCTGAGACCGCCCAACGGGGTCCTGAATTCAAATGACCCCTGCCCTGGCTTCCGGCTGAGGGCTGCACAGGGATAGACCCACAGGGTTCTCCTCCCACCTGCAGCAATACACACACACTTTCACGTGAGAAGGGCAGAGGCTCGTGGCCCTCCTTAGGATGTCGCCGAAGTGTGCATCATCTTGGTGCAAGTCCCCTGAGACGGAGAGGAAGAAGGGGTGCCGAGACCAGCCCCTGGGCAGTGGGGAACTCAGGCCCAAGGGTTTCGTGCGCTACCGTCATCAGAATCACGCAGGAGACTCAGGGTTCAAATGGGGCCTATTAAACCCCACTGAGCACCCAACCGATGGAAAAGACACCATGGATAGACGTGGTGGAGCACGCCTGTGATCCCTGCTATTCAGGAGGCTGAGGCAGGGGGATCTCAAATCCGAGGCCAGCCTGGGGATCTTAGCAAGACCCTGGTCTCCAAAGAGCTGCAGACAGAGCTCAGGACTCCCTGGGTTCACTCCCCAGTGTGATGAAAGCGTGAGGGAGAGAGGAGAAAGGTTTATTTAGCGGACAGTGGTAGGGGCCCATAGTCAAGAGCATGGTGCTGGCTCTGGTGTGGCCCGGCAGCCTCTGCCAAGAGTACACGGGTCAGAGAGAACTCACAGGAAAAGACAGGAAGCGTGAAGCCATCACTTCCTCCCTGGCCACCTGCTCACCTTGGGAGAGCGTCCCCTCCCAACTGCACTCTGTGCACCGCTAGGGACAGGGGACCTTCTGAAGTCTGCCCTCGGGGGAGAGGGGAACACCCGACTCCGAGAAGGGCCCCCAAGGACTCCCGTGTCCAAGGCCCGGCCCCAGTGCGTCCAGTGCCGGGTCGGGATCCTGGTCCACTCTGTGCTGAAGGGCGGGGAGGCCTCAGGTCCCTGGAGCTCCACCCACAGAAGGACCCCTTACTTCCTGTTGGGGGCGGGGGTGTCAGAAAACAGCAGGCCTGGCCCCCCACCTCTGCGGCCTCCTGTCTCCCTGTGTGACCTCCGTACACGGCCCCAGCACCACCCTCAGCACGGGCCACACTGTCCTGAGTGTGGACCTGTGGCTCCCAAACTGTGGGCTAAGTAAGCGTCTTTTCTTTATAAAGTACCCGGCCTCAACTTCTGCGTGAGAGCACAGAGGGTTCCTGCTCTCCATGTTTTACCCTCACATCGACAGGGCTCCTTGTGGCGACCATGGACTGATGGACAGAGATGGCTCAGGGCCAGTTTATCTCATTTATTTACTTGTTTATTTACAGTACCGGGGATTGCGTCTAAGGCCTTTGCGCTGAACCCCATCTCCAGCCCTTTTTTATTTTTTGAGACAGGGTCTCATTAAGTTGCTAAGTTGCCCAGGCTGGGCTGGAACTTGAAATTCTCCTGCCTCAGCCTCCAAGAGTGCCGGGAGGGTAGGAGTGTGCCACCGGGGCCTATGTCAGGGCCTGTTTTAAAAGGAATCTCCAGGGAAACCAAGGGCAACAGAGGAGACACAAGCAAGGAGACTAGGAAACATTTCAGCTTCTGACCACACAGCAGCCGCAGCCCAACTCCTACCTGGAGCCTGTGGGGTCCTCTGAGCTAACAGATCATGTCAAAAGACAGGACAGTCCTCAGAACCAGGCTCACATAGAGCGGGGATTCTGGAATGATCTGGGGTGTGGTGGCACACGCCTGACATCGCAGCATTCTGGGAGGCTGAGGCAGGAGGACGGCACGTTTGAACTCAGATGGACAACTTCGTGATTCAGCGAGACCCTGGGATGGAGCTCAGTGCAAAGGCTCTCGGTTCCACCTCCAGTACCAAAACGGAATGAAAAGAAAAGTCATGGGGAGCACACTGGGAGACTGGATGTGACGGAGGGAACAGAGCTGAGGTATGTGTGGTCTCATAGGTGCCTCCCTCACCTGTCCTCCCTCCGTCCTGCACAGGAATGAGGTAGCTATTTTGAGTCCAGTCTCCTTTCCTCTCTCGTTCTGCTTTTCCACCATGCACTGAGGAGCCTGAGATCCTCATCAAAAGCCAAGCAGATGCTGCTGCCGCTGCCTGATGTTGGACTTCCAGCCCCCAGAATTGTATGCAAATAAAACTTCTTTCCTCTATAAAGTACCCAGTCTTGGGTACTTGGCAATAGCAACGGAAAATGGCCCAATCCAGTTTCCTAATCCAGGTGACCTGACCCGAGTTCACAGGAAAGCTTATAAAGTACTGCACTGACATGTGAGAATTCAAACTTAATTTTTATTTTTGATTTTTGTTTTTTTGAGACAGGGTCTCACTACATAGTTGAGACTGACCTAGAATTCACTAGCTAGCCCAGGCTGGTCTCGAATTCACAGCGATCCTCCTGCCTCAGCCTCTCGAGTGCTGGGATGACAGGTGTGTGCCACCACACCCGGCCAAACTTAACTTTTAAAAAGCTCATCAGTGGATTGCGACAGCCTCGTATCTCTGTGGTGGGGAGGCACGCAAACACAAGAGCATCGGTGCCATGCACAGCTGGCCTTGGTGGCAGAAACACCCATGCAGTGTTACGTGGAGCAGGTGAGCTCTGTGAGGCCATTTGCCCACCTGTAAACAGGGATTCTGGTCAGAGGTTGGGGTGAACACCTGTTATTTTAGCACTTGGGAGGCTGAAGCAGGAGGATCACCACTAATTCCAGGCCAGCCTGGGCTACATACAGACCCTTTCTCAAAAAACCAAAAGCAGTGCCGCCACCTGTCTCCCAAGTGCAAGGGCCTGAGTTCGATACCTGGCACCAACCAACCAACAAAACAAAAACAAAACCAAATGGGGAGGCCAATGCAGCACCCACCTCAAGTGGCCGAATGCACATGCCCAGGCACGATGTCTACCGTGATTTCACACAGTCCTGCTGCTGCCATCCGGGCGCCCAGGAACCATGGGGAGCCGCATGAGACCCTCGCTGACTCCAAGTGTTCCTGCAGGGACTCCAAACCCACAAAGCCTGCAGCTTTCTCTGGCGGGAAAGGTAGAGGTCCTGGCAGCCACAGCCCTGAGTGGCGGGGGACTTCAGAAGAGAGAATGGGCTCCGGGGGGACCTGGTGCTAGGCTGTGCCTGGCTGGGGACGGCACCAGCTTCGACCCGCTGAGATGTGATCTCAACTGGCAGCACCACCGCGCACGGGGTGGCCAGAGGGTACAGGCTGGTGGAGTGCACCGCTCACAGCAGCCTCTGCGCCTCTGGGTAGAGCTGGAGCCTGGAATACACCGATCTGGCTCAACAGGCCCAGCAAGAGCTGTGCCAGGGTCTCTCAGCTGTCACAGCAAAACCTACGTGGAAAGGGGCGGGCAGGCACCGGCTCCTGTCACAGAGCTTTGCGCAGTTGCCTTCCACCTGTCCCCA